AAATATTACAATATTAAAGAACTGTTGTTGTTAATTTGATGAAAACATTTTAAATTTCCAGTGCACTCACATCAGAATAACATAGATTTGTTGTTAGAATAATCGATTAATCGAAAAAATAATCGTTAGATTAATCGATTAGAAAATAATCATTTGGTACAGCACTAGGTGGGAACTTTGTTTAGTGACGGACGAGGTAAAAATGGAGCAGGTCGCCATATTTAGGCAGTATTGCTACGCTACCGAAGACAGCCACGCTCACAGGAAAACATTTTTTTCCATCTTTTTTTGACCAGTTAGCYGACTAAACCTGCCGATAAGATGAAAATATATTTGTTATTAAGTGTTTCGAGTGCTTCAAGATATGGAAGAGTGATTTTTGTGGCCAGGAGAAGTAAAAATATTTGAATAAAAAGACTTCGTCGACCATTTTGAATCGCTAATTTCRTCATATTTGAGGACAAATATGCATCAAATGTAAGTGAAAAACAAATATTTTTTCRCTGCTGGTGGTTTTATAAGCTGTGTGCAATGTTAATGCTTTGAAAGAAATAAGGATATATCTGTTTATTCTTGTGGTTTGGCTGGTTATTGGTGGAAATTTGGCTGAATGTACTCCAGTTGGTCTAATTATGTCTGAACATTAATATATAGTTTTTAATTTAATCATGCTGTGAGTAAATATGGATGGTAGAATGTMTTTTGTGGGGGTTTTATCTTTAATTTGAGCCCAGAGTGAAGTCCCTGTGTTGAAGCATTTAGAAATTACAGTGTTTTAGACAAAGTGTATATTCTGGACATAATTGCACAGGTGTAAAAATATGCAAATGAGACATGCTGGATTGTACTATGTCTCAAATATTCATATTTTATGCTACTGTTACCAAATTTGAACTGGTAATAGTTGAGAATTAATATTTTAGCCCAGTAAAAATTGTTTGATATCTCATTCCCTTCATATTCTGTGATACTTTATTAATAAAAAAAATTAGGGAGAAAAATATCTTGAATTTTGTGTATTTTCCTTCAATATACTAAATACTAGTTAAAGTTACAAAGAATATGACTGCTGAAGTTAAAAATTTAGATTATTAGCTTTAAAAACTGACCAAGCTTGTGAATTTACTCTAAAGGGTTCAAAAGCAGTACTTCATTTAATTTGTGTCTACTTTTTAAGGCGTTTTATGGTATTTTATGCCCGAAGGTTAACAGGTTCAGCAATAGTTGCTTCTGAGGTCACCGCTGACGTCCTTCCACCTTGGCATTGTGTAAAACTCATTTAACCGAACCATCTGAGTAAATCAGTTTTAGCTATTTGACACGACCAGGCTGCTTTTAGCACTGATTAAAGTCATATTYTTTTCCTTCCTAAAAGCCTCTTCATTCATTTACACTCAAACCTGCCTGAAATTGAAGCTGAAATGTTCAATGACAGCTGCTTCCATTCAGCTTCCAGCTCTGACAAGTCAATTTGCATTCTGCGTAATTATAATTTCCGAACAACAACACAATCCAAAAAAAAAAAAAAAACACGCTTTTAGTTTTGTTTCTGAAGGCATTCATCCAGAAACCAAAAAGGGACTTGACAGGAAGTGTTTACGACTAATGTGTGGAGCATCATCGTGGAGAACGGTTCCCAGTGAAAATGTCTCCAGATCCTGCTGGGAAACAAAGTGTACCATCGGACTTTAAAAACCAGCAACATCCTTTTAGCCGCGCGGAGCTGCTCCACATGCAGCAGATGATGTGAAGGCAGATGTGACAAGCGGCCCTAATTTTGGATCGAGTGCCTGCAAACGCTCATTCACTGGAACAAATAGTCCTCAAGTGACAGACAGAAAAATAAACACATTTTTCTTCTGTTCTTTTTTTTTTTGGAGTTATTGTATTCAGATCATCTCTGCCTGCTCAAAAAGACATTTATGCATTTCCAGTTTTTTTGCAAACTGAGCATAACCCACATACAGTAGCTTAATTCTGAACACGTTTGCATGTTTAAACAAATTATATGCACTTTTTCTAATGTGACTTTTCTCTTTTTATTTTTAAATGTAAGTCATCCTGAGCATGAAGAACATTTAAATTAAAAAAAAGCAGATCAGAGCTCGATCTACCATTTAAAACAAGCTTTTATGTTTAATCCTCTACAGTTACTATTAATTTAATGATAATTTATATTATTTTTTGCACCAGGAGAGTCATTTTAGCACCATTATAAGGGTTGTGGCTGTGCAGCAGGAGCACCACATGCAGCCTAAAATATACTTTGCACAAAAAGTTAGGAAATTTGTGTTTGGTCGATTGTCTCTTTGTTGGAACAATGCTTCTTGGTGATACATTTTATAGCAGGCACCAGAAGCACAAAACAAGAATCAATAAATACAGCAATCTGGCAGAGAAGATTGGGCAAAATTTTCACGTGCCCAACGCAAATACTCAAGTCTACCTCTCATCCCACAAATGCACGTTCCTTACAAATGTGGCACTGTTTAAAAAGGGAAATTAACAGGCTTTCCAACGGTATAAAATTTATTAAGAAGCACCTGACTGAGCTGAAAATGCGCAGAGGACAGACAAAACCATACCATTCTCCCTAATAGGAAGACACACCCACTTTTATTCATTTTCTCCATTTAGACTAGTGTTCATTGTGTGCAGAAGGAACATTCTTTTGAAGACAACTGTGCAGAAACATCACTAGAGACAAAAACACAATGACAAATTAGTTTCCGATAATTCAAACAGTGAAACTTGTGTTCCGTTGCAGCCTGCCTCATCACTGTTTGCAGCTGACTGTGTAACCTGGAGCCTCGGCGCCGTCATCCCTGGAGGACGTTCATTCATATGCCTCGTCTGCAGCCGTGTCTCTGGCAGGGAAAACARTTCTGTAGGCCCATGTGGCTGCTCGCTCCCGTGCTAATTAACACTGAGAATATTCATCACATTTAATACGAACACATGGTCCTTTCTCACCAGGGTGAGGGGGCACGAGGGGGGCATTATGAATATTTATATTTATCTTCTGTTATCTGAGAACACCTTGACAGAGGTGAAACCACATCAGAGCGGGGAAAAACTTTTGACGTTCAGCTCATTCTCATGAACTTATCAGATTTTTTTTTGTTTAGTCAGATCTTCTGATCCAAGATTTATTGGTTGATCCTTTTAACTTTTTGTTCTGTCTTTTTTTATATAATCCATCACAGTTCTTTATCTTTTCTGCACACCCAGGGGCAATCATTCTTTCTTGTAGCTCTGAAGGAGAAGTTAAATCCCCGGGCAAGTGTCAGCAGAAGTAATTATACGCTGTCCCAAAAGTCAAGCACGTGTAATGGAGAGGTGGACACAGACTCGTCCATCATGTCTTTGTGCCTTTCAGCTCGTCCTCGAGCAGGACAGTCCTCGCTCCTCAAGCTGCTCCGTCATTTATCATCAGCGACTTCTGTAACAAATTACACCCTCCGTCCATCCACCAATCGGAAGCCTTCGCCGCTCCGTTTACCAACGAGGATGCTGATGACATCACTTTCAAAGCTGTCAGTCAAATACAAACCTGCCACTCAAGCTTGTGTGGAGAAAAATAAAACTGTCTTTGGTGAGAGAATAACAAAGCGATAATCAGAGTAATGACTTTCCTGATAACGCCCTGAAAGCAATCAAAAAGTCAATCTCACACGGTGATAATTGAACTGTTACTGGAGGGTGTCGTCGGAGACAAAACAAACAGGTTTGTGCACGTACAGAAATAAAAAAGAAAAAAGGGTGCTAGAGTCCTTAAAAAACCCCAGAAAACCTACAGTATTGTGCATCATGTTCATCTTAAAATCATCTGATTAAAGCAAACATAACAGGCAAAATCCATTTTTTTACCTGTTAAACACAGGCAGAAAATTAGAATTTATTTTCTCCTGGTGCTGCAAAGATATCTTTATATTCTGTTTGAGTAATATTTTTCAACCTATTCAGTGTTCTCTATTGTCTATCACATTTTCTGAACTATT